TCAGAAGTCAGAGCCAGATGCTTTCTGCCTGGGCACATGCTTTGTGCATTTCAGCTAACTTGGCCTTGACTGGCACAGCAGCAACTTTCTTGAAGGAGTCCATCTTAATCCAGGGCATTGGCTGTCTCCTCCTGATAACATATTTTAAGGTCATGCCTGGTTTCATGTAAGGGCTAGGGAAGTTTACCTGTGCTGCAGCTGAATGCAAGAATTTACCTACATTTCTCTGCGTCCGTTTCTCATTCTTTAGTGCAGCACTCTGTCAGTATTTTAAACCTAATCCAGGTCAGTAAGAGTCCAAATATTAGTGAATGCATTATCTGTGCCTTTTGAGCATTTTTTTTTATCTCAGAGAAATCTCACAGACAGCACTGAAGCTTCTTTTTTGCAGCCAGGTTCTGCTACAAAATAAAACAACTGAGACCTTGTCATCTTGCAATGAATCTAAATTTGGCATGAGAGACCTCGGTGCAATGGATCTAAATTTGGCATGAGAGACCTCAGCGGGGGACAAGCACTAAGAGAGCTCAGCTGCTGTCATTCTTCCTTAATAAGCACTATGCACCCTGCCCCGTCATGTTCCAAAGGGAACCAGCCAAAGTTCAAACAATTCACCTGGTTTCTGCCTTCTCTGAAGGGCCCTCTTTTCATGCTCAGTGTAGGTGTATGTCTCTTCACCTTTTATGTGAAAGGAAGCACAACTCTCTGCCCACCAGGAAAAAATTTAGTACTAGTTATTAGAATTGGGCAGACCTGAATCAGATTGGAAATTCACCCCACTCTACTCCCACCCACAGAGGAACGTGAGCAACAATACAGCACAAGTCCAGCTAACCCTATCTGAATCTACCTCTGTTACTCAGCCCACAGCCCCCTTCCCAAACCTTCCTCATTAATAGGCAATAAGGTGAATCACTATTTATTGAGTAGGTGATTACTATTCAATTTGGTCCACATACTTGCTACTGATTCCCATGGACTTTTCTCAAATCCTATTCATCAGCCCATAAGGCCCTCATACTTCATCTTTGAAAAAACCATTCCAGTCTCATTGCCAAAACTGTCAAAGACGGCAGAGTCTGAGATTCTACTATACTTACAAGGTAACATGTTAGCCTGACACAGTTTTGTTGATGCTGCCAAAAAAAGCTTTGTGACTCAAAGCAATAACAACAGCCAGGGTGTCAGCACTGGCTCTGGTTTCCTAAGTTCCACTTCCCCAAGCCATGCAGACTGGGCAGGGTTATGGCTGCACAGTCAGTGGTTGCATTACAAGGAAGGAACTGGGACGTTAGGAAACCTGGATATTTTATAAGGGACTAGAGGACCGGTGCAGGGATTCATGCACTGGTGGGGGCCTGGCCTGTGCCCTCTCACAATCCGGGACCCCTCTGGGATGTTGGACTGCTGGTTTTGTCCCAAGCCCCGCAGACCAGGCCAAGAGACCCCACTGGTGCACAAATTCGTGCACCGGGCCTCTAGTATGCATATAAGATCTTTGGTTAATCTCTTCCCATCCTCCCCACTTCCCCCATCCCTCTGAGATTCATCAGTCTGTTCCATGTTTCCATGCCTGTGTGTTGAGCATCTTCCCCCTGGTGGTCAGTGTGCATCATAGCTACCGGTCGAACGGTCCAACAGTCAGTTGCTTAGACTTTTATATATATATAGATGATATTCTGGCTCTTTGCTCCACAGGTAGACACTGAATTTTCTAAGGCTATTTGCTGTACAAATATCCTTGAAAAGAAAGTCCCAAACAAAGAGAGTAGGGTCTCTTCTTGAAAGACATGTAGAAGCACAAAAGAACATAAAGAAATACCTTCTGAAAGAAACAACAGAACTTGCTATTGGATTGGATGTGTGGGCGTAAAGGAAATGGCAAAATCAAGGATGACTCCCAGGTTTTTGGTTTGTACATTGGAAGCCAGTTACTCAAATGGAGACACTTGGGGGAATGAATCAAGTTTTTCTTGCAGATTAATTCTGATATGTCTACTATATATCCAAAACAATATGCCAAGATGTAAGTTAGATACATAAGTCTGGATGCCCAGAAGAAAGGTTGAATCCAGTAATAAATACCTGAACATCATCAACGTAGGAGGTACTTAAGCCATGGAAATGGATGAGAAGGTGAAGAGGGGAGTCCAAAACTGGGGTATAGGACACTCCAGCACTTAAAGTTCAGGTAGGAGAGAAAAATTCAAGACAAATAAGACAAGGACCAGTCAGTGAGGGAAGGATGTATCCAGGAAACCAAAAAGAAGGAAGAGATTAACCAACTCAAGTGTTGCTAGGAGTTTGAGGAAGGTGAAAACAGAGCAGCCTGGAGTAAACAAAGAAACAAAACACAGAATTATACATTAATACAGGCTTTTACTAGTGTGACTTATTGAAGAAACTGGACAACTAAAACTATAAGGCTAATACCTAGCCTTTGTAAAAATATTAAAAGATGTCAGATTTAAAACAGGTATATTGAATTATTTGCTGCATAAACTAGGACCAAAATGCAATTTTTCCTTTAGTATTTTCTGAGAACAATCATCCCTAACCCTGCATGAAGTCCAATGGACACATTCAAACACTGAGTGTCACCATATGGAGTACCATTTTGGTGCTGGGGATGGAGCAATGAATGAATGCCTAGTTCTATGTAATTATCAAAACCATATCTTAACTTACCATTAAATCTCATTTCTCCTGAGGTCTGGTCTGCCTCGGGCTGAGAGCCTCCAGTGGTTGGCTTCTCCTTTCTCCTGCTCACACTCCCCAATCCACCAGTCGCTATTTCCCTTTCAGGCCTGGTTAAAGAGGAATAAGGGAGAAGTAGGACAGTTCCTATGTGGCTGGATGGCTCTATGATCTCTAGGTCCACGGTAGTTAAAGACACGTCCTCAGAATACCTGGGAGATGATTAAAGGGTGTTTTCATGTGATCTTCAGAAGTCTCCCACCGGCCCTTCCCTCCTGCAGAACCTTGAGTGAGCTGGCTGGCAATTCTCTATTCTGAGTTTCCTCTTGTGGCTCCTGGCTCAGTCCCAGGACACCCAGCTATACATGTGCCCCTCCAACTTCTCTCTGTGAAGACTCCAGGCTGTTCCATGTGAGCAAGGCTACTCATGGTGACTCTTTATAGCATGGCCTGTCTTGTCCATGCATTCCACTCACAAATCCTTTGCTGTGATGAATTTGTAAAGGACTATTTCAGTACAGTAGCAAGTGCCTGTGCTCTGCCACAGAGTAATTAGCCTCTGCTCACCTTCTAGATTTCCATGATGGGAATCAGGCCCCATGCCAGGGCATTCTCCTCCTGCAGAAAACCTCAACCCTTCTGAGAATGGCCAGTGAAGCACTGCTCTCTAGAATTTAAGTGAGGAGAGAGGCACAGCCCTCTAAGGGATTGGAGGGTACAGGACACAGCACAGCTTTTTCCAGGATATTCTCCTCATGAAAGCCTCTTTTCTTCTCTCCTTATAACGTCTTAATGTGTATCAGGAGTTTCAAAGTTATAGAAATGCTTGCAAATTTGCACATTTGAATTCATTTCACCCTTACTGTGATATCTGTTCTCTCTCATATTGGCTCCAAAGTCAAAACCAAGGCAGGAAGAGTGCAGTTCTAATATGATATTATACATATATGTAAAAAATCAAATCATGCCAGGAATTGAACTCACTGTAAATAACACAGATATTATTTATCAAGGCTTTTACATCATGGAATTAGACGGTGAATTCTTTTCTGTAGAGTTGACAAAAGAGAAAAGAGCTCGCAATTTGGGGCCAAGTTGGAGGTCACTGGACTAGTTAAGGGAGACGAGTGCTTTAAGATACTGAGAGTGGATTATGTTTGCATCCTTTAAAGTAAAACTAGAGTCTGAAGAATTATGCTACAAATGTAACCTGGGTTTTTTTCTTTATTAAAACAGAATGAAGCCTTCTAAAAGTATGTGGCTTCTCCAGATAATTATTCAGTATTCGGCTTTCTTTTATTAAAGAAGAAAGTTGGAAACTTTAAGTCATAAGGAATTATGCTATCCGATAATAGCATTGTCTGGAGGGGGCGGGGAGGAATGAAAAAGAAATCTAAAATTACTCCAGGATTTACTATAGCTACTCTGAGTAGAAACTTATATAAGAAATAATTAATTTCTATTTTTCCGTATAAAAACTGATAAAATATGTAGAATCTAGTTTGGGATTTTTCAAAAACCCTATGGAAGCTAAAGCCAGAACAAATGATGAAATCAGAGAAGATGAAGAAGGAGAGCATGAAAAGAAGAGATGCTAAAACCTAGTTCTGAGGTATATTTTCAGGGGAAGCAAAGAGGGAGAAAGTGAAAATCATCTGTCAAGGATGGGCATATAGAAGCCTAGAGAACAAAAAAATTGAACAGGGAGTGCATGATGTATCAAAATTCCAGAGAGATGCCAGTGAAGTAATTAAAAGAATAGGTACCTTGGAAGAATGTTGACAGTGTCCCCCAATATTGACTAGGAAAGCCACTAACTAATAGGAAGAGCTCCCAGCAAGAGAGAGGTAGAAAAATGCAAAAGGCCCAAATTTGTTGTTCCTAATATAGTGAAGCTTAAAATAAGTCAAGCTGATTGACACCATCAGCAAGCTGGTCAGTTTATCATTGACTATTGGAATTTTTACTATTTAAGATTCTGAATTCCGTGATCCTGCAGAAATATCTTTATACATATATAAAGGAAAAACAAGCAAGACATGAAAATCAATGTGAAGTCTTGGCAAGCATTCAGAAGCACCTAACACAGATAGTGTGTGCTTACAAATCCTAAGCAATGTTTCCATGAACATCTCAAACTTGGAAGATTTAATATATTTATATTTATATGGTTTGTCTGTAATAAGAACAGAACTGTGGGTGATTCGAGATTTTTAAATTTGGTCATTTTTCAGCGCTCTTTTTAGTTGGCCCCCTGATTGTATTTACAGCCAGACGCTTAACCAGGCAACTTATTCTTACAGGTGCAGACGACAACCATGTGCATATCCGTTAGCCTAAGCGGCTTCGTGGTCCTGGGCTGTTTGTTTGCACCCAAGGTGCACATCGTGCTGTTCCAACCCCAGAAGAATGTGGTCACACACAGACTGCACCTCAACAGGTTCAGTGTCAGCGGAACTGGGACCACATATTCTCAGTGTAAGTATGGAACTCACCCCTTCATACACAGCGCTGTAGTAGGGAGCAGGCTGGGAGGGGAAGCAATGGATAGGAACAGACAGCACATGTCTGTCCCCATGAACAATCTCAATTCAATTATAATAAGTACTGGTTCAACCGCTGGGTGCCAGGTGCTGTGCTAGGTGCTATGGACCCAGTGATGAGCAGAAGAGTGAAAGTTCCTGTTTTGGCAGTACACACAATCCAGCAGGGAAGACAGATATTACATCTGTAGCTGCAAGTAGGATTTTTGACCATGTTGTGGAGTCAGTGAGCCTGGTCTTTAGTCCTGACTGCAACCAGTTCAGTAGGCAACCTTGAGCACTTCACTTTATTGCTCCCTGTCTCAGTTTACTCATTGTCCTAGAGAGCTGAACTAGATCGGTGCTCTGTAAAGTATGTCCTGTGTCACATAAATGAAGTTGCTTCATGAAAAATTAAAAGAGGGAGATAAACAATCAAATAAGAGGGAAAATGCTGCATCCTAAATGTACCCTTGGAAGTTCAAAGTACCTCTGTTAACCTGAGTATGTTAAAGGTTTTGAGAATCTCTACAGCAAGGAAGCCTTTTAATGTTGTTATTTACGGAGTCTCTTAAAAGTATTTGATAATAGTTAAACCAACTAACCTCCCATGGAACACACCTTGGAAAATGCTGGAATCGATTTTCCTCTATTTCAATGATGATGTTTTTTTCAGCTGAGAACTAGCTGAGAAGGGAGTTTGGACGGAAGGTTTACCAAGATAACTCTCCAGTCCAAACTTCTCTCCAACTGACCTGCAAATATCTGAAACACTATCCTTAGAGAATCATTTGCTTAATTCTTTAGCATCCTCTAAAGCACAAATGTACCCAAAGGGGACCACTTTTTAAGTCATTTTCAGCTCATCTATGATATAAAGTAGGAGACACTCACTGACAGAAGGATGAAGAGGAAGGAGTGGAGTCCAGAGAGGAGGAAGGAGGACTGGAGTGACAGAGACAAATGACTACTTCACAATTTTGCCTCAAGTCAATTAGAAAGGATATTTCAAAATAGCTCAGCATCACAGAGTGAGCAATTGCATTAGTGCCCCAGTTTCTCCAAGAAAGTATACAATTGAAGAGGGAAGCCCTTCCCCCAGCAAACAAAGAGAAAACCAATGGCTGATAACACATATTCAGTGATGCCCTGCGTACAGCACTTTGTGGTTGAGAGCTGCAATAGGGGTGGAGACATTACTCTCTTTTCAGCTACATTTCTTGGTACCACATGATTGAGTCCCAGAACATGATAAAACTTGTGAAGTAATTTTCTTTGGATATTAGAAAAACCTGCTTATGTCTTGAGCAAACAAGAAAGAACTGACAACAATTAACAATAACAACACCTCACAGGAACTATCATCTATTGAGTGTTTTCTATGTGCTCAGCATTGCGTTAAATACTTCATACGTGTACTTGTGTACTGTATCTCCTAGCACACTCACAACTCTTTGAGATAAATAAACTTACCCAGAGTCACACATATGGAAAGTGACAGAACCAGAATTTAAAGTCAGTTTCTCTGATTTCAAAGCCGGTGCACCCAATTGTTGTATCATGCTACTTCACCTAGAATACAAGCTGGGAAAGTTCCTATGAGGCTAGGCACTTGGTAGGCTCTACAGGGAGAATGAAAGGAAGGTTACCTGAGACTGTATAGCAAGACTTACGCCTGGTAAAAATAATCTTGTTGCTAGCTCAGAGCTCTTGGTCATTATTTGAGCAATTTAACAAAGTCCATAAATCTTCCACAGACATGGTTCAAAATATCATACATCCAAACCTCAGTTAATTTTGAAATGGTAGCATTTTGTAGTACATACACCAGGAATTAATAAATCCTTGAAGGGATAACAAGGGAACTTTACCCAATCAAGTCTTTCTTCACGATTTCAGAAATATTCACGTACACTAAAACAATGAACTTCGACTGTAATGGACTTAAGCTTTACTCAGTATGTGAATCTGCTAGTAGCCCAATTAATACTTCAGGTGGGCATCGGCCTAGACCAACATTTTATGACTGCATTGTTACTCAATAAAATTTTAAATAAATCTTTATTTTTAAAAGTCTAAATTTAGACCTCATTTTCAGCAACTTTCCTCTAATTAATACAAATTAGTGAAGTGATATTAAAGTAACAAGGGAAGTATTTATGTGATAGCTCTAGACTTCTCAAAGTACTGAGTAATTTATCTCTTATTTGTAATTTTATATCTTTAATTCAAAATAGTTTTCTATTTGTGGGCTCATTTTGTCCCATGAGTACTAGATATCAGAGTTATATTTTACAGGTGAAGAAATAAAGAATAGAAGTTATGCGCAAAGATATAAAATGATTCATGAGTTGACACTGGCTTTCCACACTTGTGATTGAAACTTTCCCATTTTAATAATTTGGAACTGTTTTCATTAAATTCATTAATTAAATGTTTGGGTACCTTCTATCCACCAGACATTTCTAAACACCTGTGAACGACAGTGGTGAACCCCTGGTCCCGTGATGCTGTAGAATGTAACCCATTAATGGGTCATGAAATGTATTCAGTATATTTGACTAGCATTTTATGAAAGAGAATAGAATAAATCTCCTAGAGTGCATTATATGTAAAAAGGGTAAGTAATATTTCAGGACATTTGCTCCAGAGTTTATGGATGTGTACCAGGTCCAAGTAAAAACACTTATTGCTGTGAATTGCAGTCAAAGAAGTATGACAGCCACTGGTCTTTGAGATCTAGTTCTGCATGTGAACATGTTACTGACCAGCTGTGATGAATCTTTTAGCAACTGGTTTAATATCTCAGTGCCTGTTTCCTCCATTGCATATCCAGCACAACTTATACCCGTTTCCCTTCTAAATCCTGGGAAGTAAGTTGTTTTATAAATCAAGAAAAATCCTTAAGCCAAAACCGGTTTGGCTCAGTGGATAGAGCGTCGGCCTGCGGACTGAAAGGTCCCAGGTTCGATTCCGGTCAAGGGCATGTACCTGGGTTGTGGGCACATCCCCAGTAGGAGATGTGCAGGAGGCAGCTGATCGATGTTTCTAACTCTCTATCTCTCTCCCTTCCTCTCTGTAAAAAAATAAATAAAATATATTTAAAAAAAAAAAAAGAAAAAAAGAAAAATCCTTAAACTTCTCTAAATTCATCCGGTAAAGCATATGCTTTATTAGGTTGTACATAATTTACTAGTATGTTCTTCTGGCAATTATTATGCAGGCATTTTATTGTGTTAACTTATTGTTACCAATATTGCTGCTGGTTGTTTAACTCCCTCCAGAGGTAAAAATGAAACACACACACACACACACACACACACACACACACACACACTAGTTATCTATTCTCACAGAGAAAACAGCCCCCAAATTTAGTGACATAACAACAACCCTTTTATTGTGTCTCATGATTCTGTGGGTCAGGAATTCAGGCAAGACTTGGCTGAGCAGTTATTATGCTCCATGAGGCCTTGACTGGAGTCCTTCTGCAGTATCACCTCAGACTGAACTGATCTGCAGGGTCCACAGTGGTTTCACTCTGACGCTTGGCGCTTTGGCGGGATGCCTCACCACGTGGGATTGTAGAGAGCATGACAGTGCCTGTCCAGATTTAAGGGGACCCCAGCTCTCAAAGAATTTGTGGCCAGTTTTGTCATGAAACACTCTCCAAGTCCTAAATTAATCAGTACTGCCCTCTTACCAGAGATTATAGCAACATGATACACCTAGACTGAAGGTGTAGCCATATTAATTCCCAGTTAATTCTCTGGCAAGAGAGTAGCAGAAATACCACATGACCTTGGAGCCTAGGTGCGCTCTCTGAAAACCCCTAAGATGGGTGATAGCAGAAAGAGTATTGGTATTGGATTTTTAAAGCTGAGCAGTAGCTCCAGGGAGATGGCAAAGCATGACCAAACTCAGAAGCAGGCATGAAAGAAAGAGCATGCTTAAGGCCATCTCAGAAAACTCACCATATGAGAAATATTTGAATACTGCTAGGTGTAAAAAAGACCAATTTTACTTGTGTGCTATTAACAATACACAGTGGGAGTCAGAATAATAAATATAAAGGAAACATTAACTTTTCTCCATTAAGTATACCTTTGGGCCAATAATTCCCAATATTTGTGTACAAAAAAGGACAACTCTTTGAAGTAGAGATTCTCAAGCCCCACCCATAGCTATTCTGATTCATGTGGTCTGGAGCAAAAGACACCCCTGCTGGTTCAATGGAAGTGATCCAAGGAGTACATTTTGAGAACCTCAGTCTACACTATCCTGTCTACTTTATCCACTGGTATCGGTGCAGAGCAGGGAAGGCCTCTTAGATGACCCTCAAAGAGGATACAGGCACAGGTTCGGAGAGGGGGAGGTATTTGTGACGCCAGTGGCCACTTCCCTGTGCAGTTTTTTCCCCAGCTCTCTCCAGAACCCTCCAGAGAAGGCATTTATGTCACAGAAGCACCTGGCCACTCAGAAAACATTTAGTGAAACTGAGAATGCTCTTTTCAAGACCAGTACTCAGAGACCCAAAAGTCCTAACTCATGCTTATCTGCTGCTCTCACACCCACTCACATAAGCAAACTTTCTTTGTATTTGGATGAGAAAGAAAAGAGGTCATTCTTTATTTTGTTCAGCTATAGAAGCAAAGGGGCTTGCAGGAGCTGGTTCCCACAGACAGGCAATCAAGAAGGGATGCTGCGAATGTAAGTAGAACTGCACTAATTTTGAAGGTAAAAACTGGGTGTGCATGTGAAGTTACACAGCATAAAACCCTTATAGGACTCATGCAGGTCAGGACATTGTTGTCACTAATATGGGTTTGCAAAGGCATAGCCTGGGGAGAGAGAGGTGAGAAATGGAGTGTGCCCGATCATCTTCAGAGCCATTATGTGCACAGACTTTTCCTACGGGGATGTGTGTTTCTCTTGCTTATGGTGATCATTCAGATA